GCAGTGCACACATCCTGTGACATTATTTTTAAAAAGTTAGATAATGTCCATTGGCTGATATCCTTGGCATCAGATTCAGAGGCAGGAGAAAAGAATTGTGACGTCTATTTTGTTATTCACTGTGAACAACTAGTATTCTGGACTTCTTCTAATCATGCAGGTAGTCAGTACTGCCTTGCAAATCCTACTATATATCTCGAACAAAATCGTACATATGTGTCATTTTTATTATTGTGGAGTAACATTAGAACTTGAGATTAATTTGCATTGACAACAGACAAACATTTCCTCAATTTAAACTTCAGCGTTGATGCCACTGTTGGGACCAGTCCATGCATAGGAGTATCTGTACTGTTTAGTTGCAGAATGTGCTTTTACTATTGAAGTGTCCCCATTCCCATGCAGAAGCAATTTTGCAACCATACTGCTCTTGATAGCTTTATTTCATTTACCATAAGCCCAAAGTCCTGTTTGGTAGGAAAGCATATAGACAAACTGAATGCTTCAATAGTTAATTGAGTGTGTGCTTATTTCTGATGCACCAGTGCATTGTGAGAAGGATACCTGCATTAACACTTTACCAAGTGGAGAATGGAAAGTCATCCAAGAGATAATTTGAAAAACTATGTCAGCGTGAATTAATTTTCAGCAGCAAACAAGCAGGTGTTGGCAGAAACAAATAATGTGAAAATGCGGGGTGTGCAGTAGTCTAGTGTTTATGTTACTGGTCTCGTGATCCAGAGGCTTGGATTTCTAACTGGGGCTATGAGTTTGAATCCCACCATGAATTTGAATCAGTTGATGAAATGAAAAACCATTATCAGCAATGATAAAAAAAAAAGTAGTGACTGTAAAGCATGAAGCTATTGGATTTTGTTTTAAAAAATACTCAAATAGTCTACTCATTTCTTTAAGGAAGGAAGACACAATTAGCGACAGATTGTTTGATGAGGACAAAGTAGGATGTTCTGTTCTTAACTAGTCTGGCCAAAGTGTGACTCCTGAAATGTGTTGACCCTGAATTGCCCTTAGAAATGACCAAGCAAGCTATTTGCTTGGGTCAAGCCACTACAGAGAAGTATATGAGTCAAGCCAGATGGGCTGGCCAGCATTGTGCAAAGCATCAAAATCGGACATGACAAAGGCACACCCCACCCGTTTTACCCTGCCATGTCATCCTCATTAAAAGCAAAGAGCTTGTACCAAATTTGTGAGAAGGCAGTCATTCATACTGACAGAATCATTCTTATCAACGCTAACATCCCAGGCTCTTCCATCACTGTCACACCAGCGAATAGAGTGGTATGCAGTCAGGAAGGATTGGGCCTTGTGATCCTCAGTATCAACTCCATACTGGACATAGTTTCATGTCATCAGGTCTATAGGCAAATAAATTTGGCGCTAATTATCTCCCTTCTACTTCCCTCAAGTAATGAATCAGCAACACTCCGAACACTTAATGAAGTACTGAGCATAGCAAAAGCACAGAATGATTGGTTTGATACCACCATTAATGACCGAGTTTGCTGAGTCCTGAAGAGACATTTGGCTATGTTAGGCTTGCCGTAGACGTGAGAGAAGCAACATGAGGGGAAACACTTCAGACCATGACCTCACCAATCTTCCTGTTGCAAATGCTTTTATCCATGAGCGTGTTCCATTTTCATATTGACAAACCGCCCATCCTATTGTGTTCTGGGTGAGAGATTCAGAATAGATCCAGCACCGAAAACCTGGATATCCATCAACAGCAGCAGAACTGCATTCAGCTACAATCCAAAATCTCATAGAATAACACATGTCACACTCGACCATCAAACAAATAACTATCCCCAAATCGATGAGATATGTCGAAGAGTGTGTCAGCAGAATGCCCATTTGTGCCTGAAAATTAGATGCCAAACTGGTGAAACAGGATTAAGAGTGTGCTAAACTGTCGAAGCAGTATGCCAGCCACACATCTCTGCGAGGTCACAACTAAAAGATTATTTCAAAACTGTCCTTTCACATCCAACCATGAAAAGTGAACAGTTGTTGGAACTTGGATATTCAATGAACATACTGATCAATGACTCAGACCGGCACAGCCAGGTAAAAGACAAGTTTGAAACATTTGGAACCACAAGTGCTGGGGAGTTGATCCACCTCTGCCTCCTCCTGAGGCCCCAGTATGTGCCAATCTTCATTCAATTTGACTCAGTCCACATAATATTGAATTGAATATTGAATATCCTGTACTGTCATGTGTACTCTGTTGTAGGAGTACAGTGAAAAGCTTTTACAATGTCTGTACCAGGGCTTGCTGCTTGTGCTGTCCAGGGCTCACAGCCCAAGCGTTGTTCTGGGGCTTGTTGCTCTAGGACTTGCTGCCTGCACCTGCGGCTGCTCCAGGGGCTAAGGGGAGAGAAGGAAAAAAGAGAGGAAAGAGAAAAGAAAATGAAAGAAAAAGAATAGGCAGAGCAGAGGAGCTCTAGCAGGAGCGTCCTACTCTGCTGCTATCTTGCTGTCAAAATGTCTAGATGATCATACTTCAAGCCAAGCTCTTTAAGTTGACCTACAACACTGACAGAGTGGAAAATTGTCAGGCTGTCCATTATGGCACTCTTTTTAAAACACTTGGCCCTGATTGTCCCATCCTTTTTATTTTGGGTCATTGGTTATTCACCTTGCTGTTCGTCTCATTATAGCTTGCCAAATGCAGGAAACACTTTTGTTTGCGATAGAATGGCAATAGTTAGATTCCTTTTGAAATATCATAAAAATTGGATAAACACATAATTTTTGTCAAATTTTATATATCACAGTGTATGAGGGTCACATCAGGTTTGACAGGAAACAATTAATGTTGAGCTTGAGCATTATTGATCAATGCTTTCAAAAAGAGTACAATGGTAAATTCATCTTGATAAGAACAGTTGTAAAGCACCTCATTGTTTTAATATGTTACACACCTAAGGTAAAACGGTACTTATCTAAATGGTCTTTGACAGCGCACAATTTGTTAAGATTACCTGGAAATAATCACAACAGAGTAATCTAATTGAAATTGATCGTTATGGCAGTATAAACCAGTAGAGCAATGCATGAGCAGTTCATAACTGTTATCTGAAGCTTTCACTTCAGTTACAGAACTAAGAACGCTCCCTGGTATATGTACAATTTCAGCATAGCATGTTGCTCTGGTTTTGGTGTACTTTGCTGATAGTAACTGCTGCTTTGACCTTGACAAAGGATAGTCTTAACAGAATCACACTAATTTATGTGTATAGTTAAATAAAGTGGTGATAATTCAAAATTGGGGAGGCTGAAATAGTTGCTTTTGGATGCCACCATAAACTGAATTTCTTGTTGCTTGTTTCCATCTCTGGAAGTCAGCAAGACTGTGCGCAGGTTATGTTTGACCCCAAGTTGAGTTTCTGCACCAAGACTGCCTACTTCAGCCTCCGTAACATGGCTCAGCTGTCATCCTGCTTCAGCTCAATAACTAAAACCCTTCCCCATGTATTTATTATATCTAGGCTTGACTAGCCCACTGGTCTCCGAGTGGACTCACATCTTCCACCCTACGTAAACTTGTACATGTCCAAAACACTTTTGCTCATATCACAACACTTGAAATCTCATTCTGCCATCAACAATTTTCCCTTTAACCAATCTGCTTACACAGTGCACAGATCAGCCCTGCACAAGCAGCCACCAGATATATTCAAGGTGGCACAGATTTTTTAAAAATTGCCTACATACTTCAGATAAAATTAAATGTAATGTTGCTCATCACCTCCTTGCACGCTGAGCTTCATTGGCTGTCCGTCTAACAATGCCTCAATTTTAAAATCTTCCTCCATGTTTTCAAACCTCTCCATGGCCTTTCACCTTCTTTCCGCCCCCACACACACACCCCATTTCTGTGATCTTCCCACAGATTCATAATCACACAAGGTATCTGCACTCTACTAATTCTAATCCCTTGTGCGTTCCTGCTTTAATTATTTCACGATAGAGAGCCATGTTTACCACTGTCAAGAACTGAACTTAAACATCTGCATTTCTCCAACACTTTGTTCCTTTGAGATACTCCTTAAAGTGTACCTTTTTGATCAAGCTTTTGGTCATCTTTCTTTATTTCTTCTTTGGGCCACTGTCAGTCAACATCAAAAATAATGTAACTGTTTGTGTTGGGGCACTTTACTAAACAAAATGTGCTGTATTAATGTAATTTGTTATATGCAGTTAATTATCTTGATCAGTAGTTATTTATAACTGGGTAAAGAAAAGAAATGCCTCTGTACTAACACAACAAATGATTTGACTATCCAATCCTTATTCGTCACTTGGGAAACCATTTCCACCAGAACAATGTCTTCATCTCAGAATTATAATCAATTGTTTAGTTTCATGCTGTTTCACTATAACAGTGAGGCCCCTTTCAAATCAAGTTATGTGTTGCTCTTTATTTCAAAATGTATATTTTATCTACTTTAGTCATTGTACTGGTCTTGTTATGCCACAACATTCAGCAGTGTTTTGCTTTTTGCTATTCTCTTGCTGACCTATTATGACATCTCACTTTTCTCTCCTGTAAAATGTTTTCTCTGTTATCTTTGACAAACATCCCATTCTATTCTTCAGCTAAGTATAACCTGGTAAACTTCTCTCAATGCCTGTCAACATTACAGTTAACCTCAGTGTTTAATCTCATCTCATCCATTGAAGCTTCAACACGTTGACGCAAACGTATTGGCACAGTTCTTTCTGGCCTTGGGGAACCATTCAAACTGACAGGCCTCTCCAAAGAGAATGTCAAGGAAAGGTTAAGCATCTATGACTTGACAATAATTTGAAATAAAATTTGTACTCATTGTGGTTCAGCACCCTGGAAACACGTTACTATACTTGGAGGTTTGGCACAGTCAGTACACTATTTGAGTGGCTAATTCCTGTAGACAGTGTGAATAATGCAAAAGCAACCGGACTAAAATTTCCATTTCTCTCCTTTATAGATTGGGAGGAACAGTATCTGCATACAAGATAGTACCTGATGAGGTTGATGAAATCAAGGTAATTGCCTACTTTTACTAGTTTCTGAAGATCTTCAACTTGCCTTCTGTTTTTGTGATTACACCTTGGTGATCTTCAAGAGTATAAAACATGTCAAGTCCACAATGTTAGTCATTTTCATTCAAATTAAACAGTACTTTAGTACAATGACCCTGTTTTTAGTAACTATACCAAATAACAGCTGGTTCCTGATCCTTTCTGTCATTGAAGATCTTGACTAGCTGTTAAAAAGATTCACAGATTTAGATCCATGAAATTGATGACTTTCTTTTGGCTATTCATTGACGTATACTCCGTTTCATAACATGGAAATTCTGTACCCCCATGGACAGCTTGACAATCGTCATTCTACACTTCTGTTTTTGGCAGCAATTGTTGATTTATTGTGAAGGGTAATATCTGACTTTAAGGTAAGTGGCATATGCTTTGTCCTGTTTGGTCTTTTTTTTCCTGATTGTCTAGCATTTCAGCTGTGGTTCATCACTGGCTCCCTCAGGGCAGCGAAGAGTGCAACTCCAATTCTTTGGTGAAGTCATGGAGATTTTGTTTGCCAGTATACTGAATTTGGTTATGCTAACTTTGGGTTCAGATTGAAAATTGTTATGATCCTTGATGTTGTAATGTGGCAAAGGACCAGTAACTTTTTTTTAAAGTAGAGAGAGTGGTGGATTAGGGAAACAACTAAGGGAATAAAACCACAAAATCTACTTTTTTGAACAAACGAGAATAAACCTCGCTACACAACATTATAGCAGTAACACAATCTGCAATAAATGTGCACCCTATATTCTAGCACACAGAATTAACGTGGCAATATTGCCAATAAACTGTGATTAAACACCTTTATGCATATCAAAATAGCAAATGTGATCGATCAGATCCTGCAGATTTTTCAGTAATTCCTCCCAGACAATAATGATGGAGTAGATCATCGCATCTCATTAAAATTTGCAAGTGATTAGAATTCTTCACTTTTGCAGATCCAGCCTTGAAAGTCCCTCTCAAGAGCTAACACTGTTCCCATTTTAGTTGATCACTCTCCATTTATTATCTATGCTCCCCGGACTCCAGAAGCTGCACTCCAGTGCTTACTCAGAAGCACTACTCCAGCTTTTTTTTAAAACCATAAGCTTGCTTCTCCAAACTAGAACTGACCTTGGGTTTTTTCCCTTCAGCTCTCGTCTTGTTCAATTACATCAAGCACATACTGGAAGTGGGCTTTTTAACCCTTACTCCTGGCTGCACTGAACTAATGTGGCACATGCCTTTTTCTGGTTCCTCACAGCTTCTAGACCCGTTATGAAGCCCTTACACCAACTTTCAGCTGTCTACTAATTCTTGGAACTTCTACCTGAGTGCTAACAGCACAGGGGTATCCAGTCTCTCTTGAATTCTCACGAAACCCCTGACACAGAACTTGCGTAGTTCAGTTGCCTTCCCAGCAGTAGAGCTATGCCTACTATAGAATCTACGTCTCTCATTCTCAATCTGATTCTGTCTCTCTCATTCACTCACACTTATTCTCTCACTCACATCGTCACTGACTTCCAGTGTCACTGTCTGTCACCTTCCAACTACTCCTCAGTGATACTTGAACTGTGTTGAGTGACCTATTAAAAGTCTTTCAACTAGTCCTGCCCCTATTCCTCGGCAGCATTTAATGTAACTAACATTTTGGAACAACCACATGTAGAAATGGCTTGGAAGTGAGTGTGCACTCCATGCTATATTCTCGCAGATTGCTGGGTTGCAGCACAAAGAATGCTTGCAAAAAGAAAGATTAATCATGAACTGAATTTGGAGTTGTCTGAAATCTAATCTCCAGTTAACCAGTTCATTCTCCGCTCATACTGTGCGAAATCAGGATTAATTTTAGAGTAATATTAACTACCTTTAAAAGGTTAACAACAGAAATCAGGGTTGTTTGGTTAATTATCATGATTTCTGCTGATCAGAAGTTGAACGTGTTACACAGATTTTGTAAGATGCCGTGAAACTAGTTGATTGCACATTTGAATGGCCCAAAATTAGCCGCAACATTAGCTATTGAAGATATTAGGCCACCTTGAAATTTACCACACAGGAAGAAGCCTTTCTGCCCGCCTGCTACCATTTTGAAGAGCTATTTAGCCTTGTCCCACTTGCAGGCAAACTTTTCATTTTCAAATATTTACCTTGTTTTGAAAGTTACTATTAAATCTGATTCATTACTCTTTGAGAGAGTGGATTCCAAATCATAATGATTTGCTGTGTAAAAGTTTTCCTCATGTTGCTTCTAGTTCTTTTGTCAATTATTTTAAATCTGTCTTGAGCTACTGACCCAATTCCAGTAAAATTATCGTCTCTATCTTTGCATCCTTCCATCTTTAAGACCCTTCTTTCATAATTTTAATCACCTATTTTAAATTTTCTGTCAACCTATTCTGCTCCAAGGTGAATAACCCAACTTCCCGAGTGTCAGCATAATTCAAGTCCCTCATTGCCTGTACCATTCTTGCAAATTTCTTCCCCACCATCTCCAAAACCTTGACATCCTTCCTGAAGTGCACTGCCCAGAATCAGATACAATGTTCTGGTTGCAGAATATTGTGTTTTTTTTCTCTGTTTGAATCGGTGTTAAATTATGTCATGTTCATGTGTATGAGAGGGGGCATTGTTTGGTCAAATTTTTGATCTTCATCTTTCGGAACAAGCAATTGGAAGCCAGCACATGTTTATCACGGTTCACAGCTTTTAACTGATAATCAAAAAATCTGCATAAGTAATTATACATTTTGCCTGTGTGTTTGTGTGGGAAGTAATGATGAACAAGTGCGCAGTGCTGGAACTGAAGTTATGTCTTAGAATATTGATCAAATTAACCTCAGTTGCTTAGCAACTTCAAAAAAGAAGTTATTGGTGTAAATTGACTATAAGACTTCAGAAATTCTCATGTCTTAGAAGCTAATTGCATGCCAAACAGCATAAGCAGCAAGTGATAGAGCTAAGCAATCCCACAACTAATGGATCAGATCTAAGCTTTGCAGTCCTGCCTCATCCAGTCACGAATGGTGACAAACAATTAAATGACTCACTGGAGGAGGAGACTCCACAAATATCCCCATCATTTATGATGGAAGAAGCCAACGCATTGGTGAAGCATTCATAGTAAGCTTCAGCCAGAAATGCCATGCAGGTGATCCCTTTCGGTCTCTTCCAGTGGACCCCAGCGTTACAATACCGGTCTTCAGCCAATTCAATTCACTTCTTGCAATATCAAGAAACAGTTGGAAGCACGGGATACTTCAAAGGCTATTCCTGGCAACATTCCGGCAATTGTAATGAAGACTTGTGCTCCAGAACTTGCTGCTCCCCGAGCCAAGCTCATCCAGTACAGTTTCAACACTGACATCTACCCAGCAATGTGGAAATATGCCCTTGGTATGTGCTGTACATAAAAAGCAGGTCTAATCCAACCTGGCCAATTTGCACCCCATCAGTCTACTTTCGATTACCAGTAATGTAATGGTAGGTGTCATCAACAGTGCTATCAAGTAGCACCTGCTCAGCAATAACCTACTCAGTAACACCCAGTTTGGGCTCCACCAGGGCCACTCAGCTCCAGATGTCATTACAGCCTTGGTTCAAACATGGACAAAAGAATTCCAGAGGTGAGGTGAGAATGACAGCCCTTGACATCAAGGCTGCATTCGAGTGAGTGTCACTGGGTATCAGGGACGAATTCCCCACTGGCTAGTGTCATATCTGGCACATGGGAAGATGGTTGTAGCTGTTGGAAATCAGTCATCTCAGCTCCAGGACATATTGGCAAGAGTTCCTCAGAGTAGTGTCCTAAGCCCAACCATCTTCAGCTGTTTCATCAATGACATTCCCACCAGCATAATGCCAGAAGTGGAGATATTCGCTGATGAGTGCAAAATGCTCACGTTTTGTGACTACTCAGATATGAAGCAATCCATGTTCAAATGTGACAAGCTCTGGGCAATATCCAGACCTAAGCTGACATGTGTCAACTAGCATTCACACCACACAATGCCAGGCAAAGACCATCTCCAATAAGAGTTAATCTAACCACCATCCCTTGACATAGCAACAGTGTGTACCATCTAAAAGATTCAATGCAGAAATTCACCAAAGATTCTTCAATAGTACCTTCCAAACCCACTACTTCCATCTAGAAGGACAAGAGCAGCATGGGAACGCCATCACCTGCAAGTTCCTCTCCGAGCCACTCACCATCCAAGCTTGGAAATATATCGCTGTTTCTTCACTGTCAGTGAATCAGTATTCTGGAATTCTCTCCCCAAGGATATTGTGGATCACTGTACAGCACATGGACTGCAATGGTTCAAGACCACAGCTCACCACTACCTTCTCAAGGGCAACTCGGGATGGACAATAAATGCTGGCCAGCCAACGACGCCCATGTTGCACAAGTAAATTCAAAAATAACATTGGCAAGAACAGCAAAGCCATTTAATGCATTTTCCATTGATGGTCCAAAAACTGCTGCAGCAGGCATAAAAGAAGCCCTTCCAGTTGCACATGCCTTGTTATGTCATTGAAATGTTTGCCCAGGTATGTCATACTGTTGATTTCTCTCCAATTCCATTATTCAGTGTATTCTTCCCTGATTACACACAGGTCATGTTTCTTGCTCCTTCTCCAAAGTACAGAGAACTCAACAGCTAAGAGAAAGGCATCTTCTTCCCCAATTAATTTGCTTCTGATCTATCAATGATAAAAACACACTTAATTAGAGTTTGAATGGTCATTTGAAACTTGACAATAACTGGCTATCTTACATCACTTAAAGAAATCATTCCTGGGTACTACTTTGGATCTTGATTATTTCACAACCTAGCATCTGTTTGACTGCGTGCTGTCAATATTTACTGAGAAGGGAAAATTTTATTTTGTACTTTTAAAAAAAAAACACTTGTCAACTGAGATCGAAACTTAGGAACGGGAATAGCCCATTTGCCCATTGAAGAGTTTGA